GGCCCCCCCCCCCCTTGGGTACGCCACTGCACGTAGAGTTCTACGGCTACGTGTGTCGGCAGGCCATGTCTTGAACGAGCGATTGGACCCGAGGAGGTATCGAAACCGACGATGCTAGCGGATTCCTGCTCGTTTAGAGGGTCGTCAGGTTCGGAAGTTTCGAAATTCATTGAGCTCGACCACAGAGTCGATGGGAGCAAACTCGAAGCACGCGGGTGCGGAACCAGTCGAGGAACTCCGCTTGTCGGAATCCGGTCATGATCATTTTGGCGGGATGGGGTGCCCCACTGTGTTTTTTTCGAGCTCTCTCCCAAGACTTTCCGAGACGTTCCGAGTTCACGCTCGACATCGCTCCCTGGGTATGAGAGAGTACTATGACTCTCTGAAGGCTCTTAGAGATTGTTGCGCTCTGCGTCACATGAAGAGAATCCGAGCTCCGGTGCTGGTACACGAAGTTCAAAGGTGAAATCGTGTAGTGAAAACTCATCGGGCATACCGAAAGAGACCCGAGCTCAGGTTCCATGATGAATGTTGAAAGACTAATTGCTCAGTCTCCGGAGTTTGACAAGATTGCTCCCCCGATCTCGCACTCCTTCATATGCTCAGATGCCGCTGAAGGCAGCGGGGGGTCCTCATTATTGATTGAATCTACCTGCACCCACATTTTGATCCAGATATCGGGCCTGATAAAGCACCTAGAGGGTTGAGCATATGGGAGCGTTCGTGATGGACGATAACGATTTGCAGCGCTCCCGTGACAGCAGAGAACTTTTTACTGAAAGCCTATAACAGATCCCTTCTCCGCGCGGAGCTCGCTCTCAATGAGAAAGATGATTGCCCTCCGTCGGACTTCAGGAAGTTCACCGACCTGGAGTGCTTTGTGGAAGGCGGATTCGAGGTCTACAAAGCTGAGAGGATTTCGGATTGTTCGCGATGAAGGTCATGTTCGAGGCCTCAGGACGAATCCCCGTGAAGAGAAGGGTCGAATAGAACGACTGATGGGAGAGAAAAGAATCCTCTTCGCGATAGAAAATGTCTTCATGGTGAAACCCGTGTCTACGTCCATAGACATAGAAAATGTTTGCATGATGATGGAGTTCGCCCCCCGGAAGTCTGTGGACACTGCAAGATAATGATCTCGGAACTTCAGAGGGCGAAATGGAAACAAGCTGCCATCAAGATCGCGCGCTTCGGGGATATTGACCTGCATGAGATCATATTCGGAAATAGGGGAATAATTCCGGAATCGAGGGGAGTTGGGGATACCTCAGTCGCGGGAGATTTTTTCTCCAGCTCAGCTCCGGTTGCACTCGATCCTTTGAGGGCGGATTCCCCTAATCAGGCTCATTCGGAGTTTCACTTGGAATCTTCGCGTGAAGAGCCTGTTGTCACGACGACTCGCATCGAAGCAGGCGCAAGCGTGAGCGGTGACGTTCTCAGGATTGCCCCGGAGAGGGTTGCAAGTCCAACCACAGTCATGCTGCGAAGCTAGCAACGATGATGGTAATGAGGAGCTCAAGTCTCCCGACCTTCTCGGAATTTCGAGCCTTGCAGGCCTGGAATCAAACCGTTCGAGACTTCGCTCTCTATTTCTTTCATGCGATGCCTAACAGAGAAGACGAGAGATATTCGCAGATGCTCATCTGACGATTTATTTATTGGTGTATTTGTATATGGGCTTCTGAAATATCAGCTACGTTGTGTTATCACGGACATTGCAAAGTAGGCTGGATATCTTAAGGAAAAATTACAAACCTTCCAAAGCATCAACATGAGACTCCTCTGTCGAATTCCATCCGTTCCCATTTCATGCTCTCGAGATCCGACTACCGCATTTGCCTTCCCAGCTCCGAAACCTCAAACTGAGTTAGACGCAGTGAACGGAAAGAGTTGGATAATTCGCTATCACCGGCTTTCCTTACTTCGGTATATCTCATTGGCGAGTAGACCCCATGCAAACAGCACGACGACACGATGCTAGTCTCGACCACACGAACCACTTGAAGAACCACACCAGGAGAGCATAATGAATTGGTAATGCGCGCTGAACGAATCCTAGCTCATCGAGTTATATTTTCATCTACCGATATCATCCTTGTAGGCCAAGTACTCTGTCTGTCAGTTTACTCCTGCTCTTCTACGAAGAGCTCACAATGGCTCTGAGTGAGCCGACGGGAACCCATGAGAACTGACGTAGACTCTTTCGAAATCCTAGTTTTTGTCGTCGACGAGAAACGCCGCAGAAGCGTAGCTGACTGAGCTGTCTTGACGACTGGTGACACGGTTGCTTTGGGCATATCTTAGAAACTCGCAATTGAACCTTATGGGACTTTGTTGCAAGGTAGCGATGCTATTGAGCAGGACGCCAATAGGGTGTCTTCCGCAAATTGTGTTCCCCGTGCTCTTCAAATAACTGGCAAAACTTGTTGGGCTGAGGTCTTCGATGAGCTTCATTCCGTCGTGATCCAACTTGCTGATGCTCTCCCAAATGTCGCCTTGGGCTTCGTCGTAGTGCTGATAACGGAATCTGCTCCCCCAATGGCAGAAATCTGAGCTCACCACGAAACACACATCTTCTCTGCCGAGGTATTTCGCTAGGGCTCTTCCGTATATTGCCTCTTTCTCAGTAGATATAGCACCAACCATGATTGGTATGATTGTGAACGGTCCATTGGTTTTCCTCTCCATCACCTGCCATGAGGAATAACGGGGTTAGTCTTGAGTCGAGCCTCTGGAGTGTACGCAAAATTGCACGATTCTCGGATCAAGGAGCGATTCTCTGACGGAGCGTGATAATTACCTTGGCAATGTATGGGAGCTGCATCTCTATCGAATGCTCGTCTTCATCGGTCCCCAAGCTCATCTCTTCGAAGAGACCCGTCTTATAAAGCTCGTCGTAAATTTCTTTATCGATAGTGAGATCCATGAGAGGTGTTTTATACGTTGTCGCCGGGGACAGGGCGCAGCCTTCCAAAAACACATGATGAGATGGTCCCAGAATGAAGATCTTCCGAACTCGATCGGGATCGATCTGCTTGTAAGCGAACGCTGCAGTCGAGCCTGAGTACCTGTACCCAGCATGCGGAGCTATGATTGCCCGTGCGGGAGAATGGGTAGCATTACCAACTAGCTGCAGCCAGCCGTCCAACTGGTTTCGGAGCTCATTCTCTTTCTCCGTGTACCACGACCCTGCATGAGTGGCTGCACGGCTAGTCCGGAACATGTCAGCTGTCCTAGATTTCACAAGCGTCGAAATAGGAGGACTCTGCTCGATCTTGTTCTCCGCTCGCTGAAAGGTACACCGAGCCCACAGCGGAGGTTCCAAGGCTTCGGCCAGCCAGTAGTGAGCGCACCAGGAGAGTTCTAACAGAAGAGGATCTCGCCAGACGAGACGATGATGCGTCTTCTCAGCTGTGGAGCGACCGATGAACGCATTTTTGTAGTATCTCCACTTGGACTGAACAAGCGATCGCGTTTTGGGGTCCCCCGAGCTGCGAGGATATTCCTAATCGTTATTTTTCCTCTGATAATCACATCGGAGTACTGACGACAGTGAATATAGCAGAGCGCGGCGAAGGGAGAGTCCTCGAGATTTGAAACAGCGCGCCGGAAATTTACCCTCTCCGTGTGACGGACCGGTTCTGTGTTGTCAATAATCCTCCTCCACACATATATACCCGAAAATTACCGGATACGCTGGACAAAATTGAATGGGCGAACAATGGATCGTCTTTAAGAGTGACCTAGTCGTGACGGAAAGCGCAGAGTTCTGAAGTCCGTTCGCATTACTTTCTACATGTTTATGACCGGTGCTTAACATGGGACTCCGGGACAATTTGCTATTTATGGTCATTGGACATTTAGTGTGCATCGGACTCGGTAAGTTCTCACGTTGTTACTCTATCGATCTTATTGGGCGCGCATCGATTTGCGATTCGCTGCGTTCGTAGTAGTGGCAGCCCTCCACAGAAGCTCTATGAAGTCGTCGATGTCTCAGAATACCACCCGGAAGAACTCCGCGATTCTCTATGGACGGATATCATGAGGGCTTCAATTTTACAGAATTCTTGTCCTAAATCCGAGATTTTCCATTTGGGAAGCGACTTGGGGTATGAGACTTTCCCCACGCGCATGGTGAATTCATCAAGCTCAAATTGCTTCTCATAGAGAACATTCCCGCTGCTCATCTTGCCGCTCAAGGAATGCTGCGGAGCCGGACATAGTCATCTGACTTACTTAGAGCAAATTCCTCTTTTCTACCGGAAAAGGGCCATGACCTCCCACGCGAATTGTTTGCATCTTTTACAGCATGGTGACTCCCTGAGGATCGATACTGTTGAGTCGAGAGTCTCGAGACAAGGCTCCGGTGGAAACTTTCAATCAGTCACATGCTCTCATCCAGTCAAACTGCTCTCCTTGAATGAGAGAGCCATCTCCGCGAATGGCATGGCGTACGTTGGCAGCCGAGCATAGATGACCCTTCTTGCCGGTCACAGTCCGGAATTCCGGTGGCAGCCAATCCGAAAGTGCGTCAAGTCGATGGTGCAATTCGAGTTTGCAGATAGAGACTCCACTCTCGGTCTATCCCGAGGAGAGATAAGATTCCAGCCAAGAGTCAAGGGTAGGGATTATATTGCGTTGTAGGTCTGCGGATCATCTGAATGGGAAATCTGCGGGGTACGCTCCCTTGACGGGACCTGCACTGGCTTTCACGAGATCAAGTTCATACAGAGCTCTGAAAGTCTCGGAAGCCACGGGGTCCAAAAGAATTAGACGGCCGGCAGCCGAGAGGTGATATCCCTGTTCTATTAATTGCTGCGTTGAGATGTCCCGTCCGAATTTAATATAGAAGGTCAGTCTTTGGACAGCTGGCCCCAATCCCGCCTTCCAAGATCGCTCTTGAGCAGAGGACCGTCTCATGCTCATCCATGGCCCACGAATCTACTATTCTCAGCGCAAACGATCCGAATCATAAACGAAGGGCCGCTCAGGCGAGCCTTCGAATCTCCGATGTTGCAAACAATTCTCTAAGCTGATTTTCATTATGTGGATAGATGGGAGACGAGTTGCCTGCGAGAGGCGAAAATAAAATGCTTTGAAACTCATTTTTTCTTCCAGTCGCTCTGCCAGTACTCCTCTTCTACCTCATCGGTAGACCGTACAAGCGGGGTTTCTTCTGCGATGATGAATCTTTACGTCATCCTTATCACGACAGCACGGTCACGTCATCTGTGCTGTATGCTTATGGATTCACCTTACCGATTTTCACTGTGAGTCGGGGTGCAAGATGTCTGATTTGAGGGTCTCGGTATCATTTAGAGCCTGTTTCCTCTCCTGAGGGTCGCCATCGGACTTGGGTCATTCTAGCCGAGTTACGGGATGATCCCTTGCCTCTGCGCGTGAAGCGAATCCATCCCAGCCTTCAAAGGCTACCAGGGAGATGGCTCAGAAACCTTGCTAAGTGAGGAACTGGAATGGGCACCGCATCTACTTTCAGACAATTAGTCTAAACGGTCTCTCGTGTGAAGACTGCTTCTATCGGTCTCTCAGCACTATACCGTCAAAATGAGCCATATTTCGCTTCGATCTCCATAGCTAGCGTCATCGTAGGGCTTTTTTTGTGAAAATAGGCTCAATTCTACTCCATCGCCCGACGCGGCCACTCTTTAAACCATGTGTCATCGATACTCCATGACTGTCGGTTCGATCCTCTGGAAAGCTGGACGGACGGGATTTTTTTCAAATCAACTTTCGTGTTTCAGATCATCCTCGTCGAGACCATAACTTCGCGCTCGGATGTGACCGGGATTCTACCTCAATTTGACAAACCCTTCCTGACCTATAAGGTTCCGAATCTCGTACAGAGCATTTATCACAATATCTGGCCGTTTCTCATGGGTGCTGCTGTGCAACAGATGGTAACCGATATCGCGAAATACACGATCGGCCGGTGAGTAAGATTTTCGCTCCGGAATAATTTCTGTGCAGTATTTCGGAGCGCGAGCGGCTCTGCTTTTTTCTTTACATGTTGAGACTGATTAGGTACATCGATAGTTATCAGGTTTTTCGATCTCATCCAAGCAAAAAGGGTGTTTTCTACTTTCGTCTGATCCACAGGTTGCGCCCCCATTTCATTGCGGTCTGCAATCCGAAGAACCTCGAGGAGCTCTGTAAAGTCCCGTACAAATACGTCGAGGTCTACGAGTGTGAATCGAAGTACTCTGAGGGCCATCTCAAAGAGGTCCGCTTGTCATTCCCGTCCGGCCATTCGTCTTTCTCGATGTTCTGCATGCTGTGGATTGTGGTGAGTCGGGCACCTGCGGCATCGCGTGAACAGGTCGTCCTTCAAAGTTCGCAGTTGGTGTCAGCCAGAACCATCTTCTAACAAGAAAATCATTTCTCGGGTTCCACCTAGCTCTACCTCCAGAAGCGCCTCACTTGTCCGTGCGTGAACGTGCAAGCTGTGAAACTGCTTCTCCAGTCCGGCTTCTTCTACATAACTTGGTACACGTCGATGAGCAGAATATCGGACTACAAGCACCATTGGAGCGACGTGCTCTCTGGAATGTTGATCGGCGCAGCGATTTGTTTCGCTGTATTCTACAAAGTGGCGCCGATCGCGAACAGAGATTTGTATAGGATGGCCAGGACCTCCGATCAAGGTAACGGGAACCTTCCGATGCCGACGGAAAATATCCCTGTAACCTATCGCAGCTGTGAAGCAGGCGTCTCAGCTTAGTACCTTGCGGTCCGCCTTGACCACCACTTGCTAAATCTTTCCCGTCGGCTCCCGACTCTGTCGCGGATCCTCCCGCAACCCCCGTCTACAGCTCGAATGTCATTCGCTGCGGTGCATGATGGATGTGAAAAAGAAAACCTGCGATGTTCAGGACTCCTTTCTCAGTGAATGGAGTGCAATCCGCCACGTATGGAATGCTCTGGTATTAGCGACGCGGGATAGTTCCCGTGCATGAATACGAAATGTGGTCTTCTAGAATTTTCTTGGTCCCTGGCCTCGGAATCTTCTTGCTTTGAATTTCAAATCCCCCATGAGCGTCGTTCATCAATGTTCTCACTGATGGGACGAGGATCGGTGTTCCGTGTGATCCGCACTATGCCTTATACTCCGAGGAGAAATATGTCTGACCGCCTCCTAGGCTGACAGATCCTCCGAAAATAATCAACGAAGAGACTACCAATAGTTGGCGCAAGTCCTCGGTACGAGCGTTTGCTGCCTGCAAGAAGTCCGACTCACAGCTCACCTATCGAAACTTCTCGAAACCGCTCAGGATTCTGAAATCAATTGGGGCGCGGACCCTCGTCCCGGTCCTAGCATTGGAGTAAAGTGTTCACGTCAATGTCGTAATTCGTGTTCTGTTCATTCGGTCTCTTAGCATGAGTAGATCGAATATAACTGTGCTTTCTGTCATTCCTCGTGATTCTGATCGACCATACGGACGTTCGCCACACGAAATGCTTGATCTTTCTCGGACTCGATCAAGTTTCATCATGACGCTTGTTCGTTTCGCGTTCGGACGTGACAGGAATTTCTAGCACCTATCCATGCGATCATCCTTCGCAGAGGAATGTAAATAGTCATGTCAATCGGACCGACCTCACGGATCTCGATGCTGCAAGCGCTTAGAGATCCGCGGAATCTTTGGTGCAATTCTGAGCGAGAAGTACGTGAAGCGGAACGATTACAAACCAGACGAACAAGATCATATTGCAGATGACGCATCGGAGAATCTCCCTCTGAGTACAACGAAGCAGCCATCCAGGTAGACAGCCTCTTGGAAAACACCCCTCATTCCGATACGCCTATGACCTATGACTAAAATCCGTTGACATCTTGTAAATAATATACAGCCCGAAGGAATAAAATTTTGATGCTTGTTCATCCCATGCCTCCTCGATCGGGCACAGGAAGATGGTTCCTCGCATCGGAATGATTTATCGAGAATCACCAAACTGAACGGCTTCCAAATCAGCAATGTCTGTCCTCTTCATATAACTCCACCTCCTCTGTCCTCCAAATTCATCGCCAAAACGGAGAGGATTAACCAGTTGTTCCCATGGAGAATCTCTAGACATCTCCGTAAAGCCGATGTTCCTGCCATTTTCTCGCTTTACGCCTCTCGTGTCACACCCATATAATTCATTCCAACGCCCCCCCCTTTAAGAATAAAGGAGTTATTATTAGAAAAAAAAAAATAATGGTTGATTTCCTGGGTTAGCATCATTTCTGATGGATAGGGCGGGAACCCCACAGAACGTTCCGGAGGCGATTATAGGATCTCATAGGATCAGGAGGAGTCCATTCTCGAGGTCTCTGACTTTGAACGTCGAAGGCCCTCTTACTCTTCTGGTGTATACAGGATCGATTCCGGCGAAAATTCCCAAAGAGACATTGTCCTCTGGATCTCACGCGGACCTCATCGGCCGCTCACAGCTGCAAGTGGAAACTTTGAGATTGATGAACTGATCTGCAGAGCGACCCGACGAAGGCTCATACTGGGGCCTGAGCTAGAGCTTCCTTGCAGACTTTCATCCCTCAAAACTTGGCGTATTTCCTTCCCCCAGAGAAACACCGCTCCGCTGCTGAGCCGCCCAGGTCTTCTTCACTGTCGGGACAGTCATGGGTCATGAGAGCATGCTATAGCTAAAGAACGGCTAGGCGCTTCTTCCAAAGCGGAGAGAAGCTTTCTTGGGTTTATGGTTCTATGAGGAGGTCATGCCATTCCCGACCTATATCCTCCGAAAAACTCCGTCGAAAGAGCGATGCGCGGGAGCTTTGTCTGATAGAAAAGTCGGATGGAAAATGAATCGGTCCGGGTGATTTTTTTTATTATAGCTCGGACTTGTTCGAAATGATCAATGATTTTCTGTTACCACTTGTTCTCGGAGCAGTATGAGGGGATCAATGTCGGTGAGCAATCATCATAATCAGTACTTAGAATAGAGTTCAACCAGATGATTAATTCTAGAAGGCAAACTTGGTTCGAATGTCTTCGAGCTTCTTCGCGACCTCATGCGGAAGCCGTTCCAATTCATCGGCGATCTGTTTCTGCTTGTTGGCATCGAGTGAGTTATATTGCTCACATAGATCGCCATCGATTACGGCCTGGAACGACAGAGCACTGGTCAAGGTTGAATCATGGGGTATATTTGTATGATTACTGTGCGATCGTTCGTAGTATTCGGACATGCGTAACTCAGCGTAGGGACTCTGAGGTCGAGGCTCACCTTGACGGGGAAATAGTAACTCCTGAACGACAGATGGTCACGTCCACATATGGGCGGATGTTCCGTCCTCATATACATTTCGAGATGTTGGAAAAATTCATGGTCGTCTTTCGATGAGAAAGGTATGAGAGCGCCAACACCACCGGCTATCGTTGTGTACACTATAGCTTCGGGTCCGCCGGGGATCAATGCGGTCTTCTGGAGCGAAACGATCAGCTCACCAACGTGAGTCATGCTCAGAACTTCAGCTTTCTGACCAGCTCCACCCAGCCATCCTCGATCCCACAAGGAGCGAACTCCAGTAGGGTCTTCGTCGACGTCGTCCGACGTGTTCCCTGGCAAACGTAAGATGTAAACGTTGCCGAACTTGTCACCGCCTACGACGGTCCTATAGTCGACCATGCACGCCGCTGTCGTCCAACGAGGCGTGAAGTCGTCCGCGAAAATGATCAGCTGATTCTCGAGCATTCGGTACCTGGAAGGAGAAAATCGATGACCGACGGGACCTTTTTCCAGCGTTGAGCGCCGCGGATCACTCATTTAGACGCATCACTAGCAAACTTCGTCGATCGGCTCAATGATGATCGATTATTATGGAAGGGACGGCACGTACCTGATGAAGAAGAAGCTTTCCTGGACGTCTCCGACAACAATGCGGTTACCGACGGCGTTTATGGTCACGATCAGGTTGGGAATGTGTTTGTTCTCGCATTTTCGGAGCATCTTCTTCTTTCCGAAATCGTATATTCTCAAACAGCGGCCCACTCCGATCAGAACCCGATTGCCGAAGTTACACATGGCTTGGGGAACGTCGTCCATGACTGTTGTGTGGACGAGCTCCAGCTCGGTGCAGTCCTTCACGACCCTATAGGCGTTGATAAAAGAGTTCCGGCATTCCCGTGGACTCAGCTGCAGATCCTTCGAAATGCCAACGAGGAGTATCGGATCTGTGGATTTGTCGAAGTTGACCAAAGCGACACTGACGGCGGCTTCGTTCTGTTCGAGCTGAATTTTGTAGACCGTCGACAGATCCGAAGGATTCAAGATGCGAATCACCGAAGCCCAGTGTTTTTTGCCAGCCCGAGGAGCTCCGAACTGGGATTCGGGCAGGTCTTCGGAGAGGAAAGCAGCCGCCAACTCTGCGGCCATCTCCTGTTCGGCTTCGCCAGCGGCTTCGATCATTTCTTCAGCGACGTGTTGCTTTCGCTTCTCTTTGACCGAGTCTGTATACGCGTTGTGATCCGTTTCGATTACGATTAATTTCTGTGATTTCTTGTCAATCACGAAAGATCTCGGAGTGAACGAGAGAGGTGCGCTGAGTTGATTGAAGACAGCGCCGAGTTTCTCCAGAGCGAGAATTCGGAGTGTGTTCCCGGCGATTGCGACAATGCCTTCAGGACATTGCTCTGAGCAGAATCCTGAAGCGTATTCGAGCGAGTCGTAGGAAAGCGGCGTCAGATGGAACCGATTCTGGAACAAGTACGAGAGCCAGCATCGGGAGGACATTGCGAGGACGGCGTCGGTGCCCTGCATTTTGATTTTGAAGAGTTTCACGCTGCGCGAACCGAGGAATCTGGTGCGTGTGTCGGACATGTCACCGGTGACGGCGTCGAGGACCATTCTCTTCAAGATTCCGTTCTGAAGTCCGATATTCAGATACAACGCCGAGCTTCCTGATCCCTCTTCGTGTCCGGACATGTCAACTGAAATTGAGGGCAAAAAACACGCTTTCAGCTCCACTGGAAAAATCGAGTCGGCGGACGGTCGGGTCCTTGTGTATATTTCGGGAACCGGATTTCAAATACATTCGTTTTCGTTTACTCACCGATAGCCAAGGACTCAGGATTGGACTCCGTCATGCCCTGGACCGAAAGGATTGAGAGGCAGGATTTCGGGTCCAGCGAGATAACGTGCACCGTACCGTCGGAGGAACCAACGGCCAGGAATTTGGTCCTCTGTTCGCCCGCGGGAACCGATCCCAAGGCCATGCAGAGTACGTCGCTGTTCATTTCCTTGCGTTCTGCATACTCGTTCAGCTGACCAGAGGAGTCCATCTCGAAATATATCAGTTCCCCTCCGGTCAAAGCGATGACGACTTGTCGTTGATTTACTGCGCATTTTACAATCAGTTTTTTGCCAGACGTTCTCCATTCATTAACTCTCCGATCCGCTCTGATGTGACGGATGCCTTCAGGATAAATCTGTACGAGAGCATCGTGTCCGATCTGATGACAAGCGAGAGTCGGCGTGGTTCCCAAGAAACCGGAATCCGTGACTTCTTCGACTGTCTCTCCGATACTGAGTACGAGAGTTGCGTTGATGAAGGACACGACGATGTAGGCGTCGTACTCGTCTGAAAAGCGGAACGAATTATGACGCCGCGTCGGGAGCCGCTCAGTGGACGCCGATTTAATATTGAGAAGCCAAATGACGATAATGAATTGGAGGACACTCACCGTCCGCTCTCTTCTTGACCGTCCACACGGCACTTGGGTTGCCAGGCAGCTCCGAAACGGCCATTTCGCTCACTTCGAGACCGTGACGTAGGACACGCATTGTAGAGCGGGGGCCGCGACCGCAAGCTGCGTAGAGCTGGGGTGTATCTTCATTCGTCAGATCTGCCACTCTGGCCGTCATGATAGGAGACAACGAGTCCATTTCGTCAACCAAGACCAAGTTTTTGAGTTCTCGAGGGAGGAAGAAAAATGTGTCGCCCTCTTCCAAGGGGAATATGGATGAAAACTCCGGCTCGTCGGTGTTGTCACCGAGATGTGCGATCTGATAGAGCGAATGATTACCGAACTCGGAAGCCACAAACAGGAATCCCGACTTCAAGACATGCATCGTCTGAGCGACTGGCAGCGAATCAAAATACTTCAGTTTGATTTCGGTCACGGCATCGTCGTCGAATTCCAAAGTGATCTTGAATATGTCCCCCTGTTCGGTCTGAGCCAGGAAGAAGAACATCGACTTCGTTTTGTGCTGCGTCGAACAGACGAAAAGCATGCCCCGATCGGGGTCGTCGAGATCGTTCCTGCGTCGGGGTATCGGACACCGGATGTCGGCTTGGTCGCCGAGATTTTTGTACGTGATGAAGTTTTCTGAGCACACAAGCACTCCAGAAGGCCCGTCCACGCCTCCGGGCACCGCGATGAGGAAATTACTCGGCTCCTCCAAAGGTTCGGAATACTTCCTGACCACGTGATTCAGACCGAGATCGAGCTCGTAGAAAGTTAGGCTCTGCTGAGCTTTCTTGGCGGCTTCGCCGGTATGATCGTTGTCGGCTTCTTCGTAGTCCAACTCGATGCATGCGAACACCGGGTTTTCGAATCCCACGTCGACACCGACCATGTGGTACACCAGAGTGTTGCTCTTATGCGCCTCTAGGGGCGAGGAGATCGTGAGTCGAGCGTTCGAATCCCTATTGAGGATGTACACAAGCTTCTGTTTTTCGACAGCACCGATCATGACGGCTCGACCTTTCGGATCGACGGCCAAATATTGTCCGGGCACGATGCGTCGACAGCCGGATTTGCCGAAGGTTTCCATATGTATCTTTTCCAGCACATTCTTCGCGGGGTTGAACTCAAGGATACAGATACGACCGGAATCCGAGCCTGTAACGAGATTGTAACGATAGAGCGACCTTCCCCGGAAGTGAATCCCACGGTCCTAAGAGGCTCAATCGTTCGTCGAGATTTTTGCGGTAAAACTCACCAACGATCAAGTAGTCCTTGCTGCCCCCGGTCAGACGGAAACTCATCAGGCTTCGTATCACGCCGAAGACGTCTGTCGCGTAGACGGTGTGTACTTTTCCAGTGTTCGAATCCGGCTTGAGGATCTCGAGGATTTTTCCTTTGGCAACAGCGATCTCTTGCTGCTTGTGTCCGGAGAAATTCCCGTGACAGGACGCAGTGATGGCTGTCGCATGTTGCAGAGTGAGATTGTACAGATGCATTCTGTGACCGGAGCGAAGTGTCTGATGGGATGGCCGGCGATAAGCAGCTGTAACGAATGAACTCCGGAGATGTTTGACATCTGCATAGACCGAGACACGGCCTCCAGCCTCGAGTTGGGTAACATGCTCACGCCGTGGCTTACCCTATCAAACACTTACCCGAGGTTCCCGAAGCGCTCCCCCGATCGGTCGATAGTTCGCAAGCTTATCCGGCGAGATTGGGCTCGAACTCCAACAGCTTCACGCAAATTGGCTCATCGGCGCGCTCGAGCTGTCGTGTTTTGATCACAACACAGAGCGACCGCCGCTAGACTTTGAATTTCCCCGCGCTTATTCATAGGAAGACCTCCGGCCGCCGGCATCGGGGTGGAGGCGACCCAAGTCTTGCGAGAATCTCCGCGGAAGCCCACCCTCTAGGAGAGGTCGTCCTCGAGCGGTACATCGCTGGATTCAGTGGAGTTTTTCCGGAATGTGAAGTCGGTCATCGAAAAAAAAGGGGAGAGTCGTCAGCCGACGAGCCGACAACAGATACTTTCGAAACACAGCACATGATGTGGCCTCACTTGGAGGTCTTTTGGGGCAAATCCATCGGGGGCTCCAGCTGCCGATGGCCTTGAGCACCGAGATGGAACTGGCTCCGAATATGGCCACTCCAACAACGAGACGGAAGAAGGGTTCGAACTTGAAGGACTAAAAATTTCAATCTCGAAACTTCCTTGAAATGAAGTTTTATTCGTTGAATGAGATCAGAGTTCTATTGACTGTAAGTTTGCGGTACTTCGGACTTCGGGATGGAGATGTCTTCTCCACTGATCTTGCGAAGCCTGCGTTTCCTGATCTATCCTGCTGAGCATCGGCTGAATACGAGAAATCGCTGATATTTTACGAAGGAAATTGAGCTCGGTATCGGATCGAGCAGCCGCATGAAGATCGACCTTGAACCGCCAGCCGATACAAGATTTTGACAGGAAGTATTGGTACGACTCAATGTAGTGCCTCATAGGTCTCATGGATTCGCCCATGAGACACGATAGATTTTCTTGTGCTGGAGAGAGTTGTCGACCTCTGAGTTATGTAGATTCGGGAGCTCAGGAGCTTCATCGAAGAGAAAAGCGGCACACTTGATTGCCCCTTTTCTTCCGACGGAGCTCTTGATCTCCGGATGCTGTACCTTTCAGTGAGGCAGGTTCACTCATCTCCTCCGATAGTCCGCCTGCGGCGACCGAAAGCACTCGTGTACAACATCCCCCCCCTCCGATGTAACACCGACTGAACGATGACTATGACTGGAGGAGGGAGACATGTTGTTCCGGCTATCTGGCCCATGGTGCGCAGCTCGTCAACAACATGATGCAATGCCGCCGTGTACACGGCGACACGCCGAATAACACAGGGGGATGACTGGCAAGAACGGAGACCAGAAATCAGAGATCGATCTCGGGGATATTCGGCTCGATAGAGACGAGAGATCTTCGGATCTGACGGAATCGTCACAACAACGTGGATCGCCTAACATGTGCATCATGATTTCAAAAATCAGGAACGATGTCATCAGCGGACCAAGGGGTTTTTCAGGAATCGCCTTCTGAGCCGATTTCCGTTTTCGCGTTCCCCAGAGATCTCTGCGGGAGCGGTCGCCATGCCCGCATAGCAGGTCACGGAGACTCAGAGTCTCGAGGAGGACTAGGGATTGCCGCCTCGAACAGAGAAACAGCGGAAGCTTTCCGCTCGGCAGTCTCCGACGAGGAGGTCTTTAACGCGCGAATTGTCTCTTTGCAGACAGCCTTCTATCTGCAAATGGAAGTCGTCGTCGATTAATGTGTGTATTTTGGTGAATCAGGGAAATTTTCTCACCGCCATCCTATCGAACCTCCGGAGAACTATCAAGTGTCAGTGCAACGAAAAGTCGAAGAAGTCATCGAATCGCTCTCTGAACTCGACGGTGACTTGAGAGCATTCCACGACGAGCTCACATCCCGGTGACGATATCGGTATTGCCTGTTGTGGTGTTCGCTTTTGTCGTTAGCGGCCCGTACACTGAGCTTGCGTGCGGAGACGAAGCAGGATCCTGCCGGGAAGAGACATGCCGACCTCAACATCAGCGTCAGCGGAATCGTCGGGAAATAATGTCCCGGCGTTCCTCAGTAAATTGTGGCGTCTCGTTGAAGATCCCAAATACGATCAGACTATCTCGTGGAGCGACGTGAGTGAGATATAATACATCTATTCGGTAGGGCCGCTTCCAGCAGGAAGTCCCCGAAGCCTGTCTGATGCTGCATCGAGACCGGTTCTCAACGTTTTCCACGATTGTGCCGATATCTGTACCGTACGAGTGCTCAGGCTCCAAGGGGCGAGAGTTGGATCTTTGATGTCATATCAGGCCATAACTTGCGTATGCCTTTTCACATTAGTGCACGGGGCTTACTCTCCTGAAGCCACGATTGGGTTGAACTTTGGGTCGGAGTAGATGTCTCGTATGGCACACACACCTGCCTCCTCAATATCACATCTCCCACCCGATATACCGAGTCGACCGGCGGAAGGATCTCCTCGAGCAAACGCTCGCTCGAGAGCGCAATGTACAAAACCTTTTCATTGCAATATCCGATCATTGGTCATCAATTTTGCCTGTCGACAGAGTTGGATAATTTTGAGATTGAATCTTCGACGCAATAACTTATTCGATGAATGATGGATTGGATCAAGTTCCCGTCTCACGACAGCTGCAATGACATTACTTTGCTCTTCCGACCGAATTTCCATGATTGATCTCCCAGCTGTGTATCTTTTACGTACAGTGAATACGATTGTCATGCAAAGGGTTTCGTTTATTTTGCAGTCAGGACAGAGCTTCATCATACATGATCAGACCCAGTTTGCGAGAGACGTTCTACCTCTGTACTTTAAGCACAACAATATGGCGTCTTTCATCAGACAGCTCAACATGTGTAAGCAAGACTTCCTATTTCTGCCGCCGTGTTACGACTGTTGATTGTTGATCGCATCTTTCAATGAATGAGATGCATCGTCGGAAGAACGGATGCGGGGCTAATTGAGTGCTCTGTCTCCACAGACGGATTCCGTAAGGTTGTCAACGTCGACAGTGGGGGTCTCAAAGGATACAAGGAGGACATCGAGTTCTATCACAACTCGTTCATTCGCGGACAGGAAGCTGCCCTGGAATATATCAAGCGAAAGGCACCAGGCCATCAGAAGGTGAGAATGCAAGTCACTTCCTCTTTTCCCAACCCGGCACGCCGGAACTCTCCTCATCCAATCGTATCGCTCGCGGAGTCTCATCTGAAGCCTTTCGCAGATTCCGACCACGACAACGGCTGCGATCTCAGCAGTACCTCACGATCAGGAGCTGCGAACCGAACTCGTTCGGGAACTCTTGACTGACGTGAATCAGCTGCAGGTGAGTACGGGCTGCGTTCCCACCTGAAATTCATCCCCTGCTTCGAGAGGGAACGAGGCTCACGAGAACACGCTCTTACAGGGGAAACAAGAGAGGGTTGACACTCAGCTCGATGAAATGAAACGAGAGAACGAAGCCCTCTGGCGTGAAGTGGCTGTCCTGCGACGGAAACATTTGAAGCAGCAGCGAATCGTAGAGAAACTCATTCAGTTCCTCGCCAGACTTGTTCAACAGGCGCGTTCAGGAAACTCAGAACACAACATCTCGATGAAACGGAAGCACTCGCTGATGTTGGACGCAGGCCTGAAACTGCGAAAAACTCTCAAAGGACCCGTAGCTTCGACCAGACCGGTATGTTATTCTCTTCCTTACGTTCTCGCAGAGCATTCGTAGGACATACGTTCCGAGACACGATTCTCTGCGGACGTTCCCCTGAAAATTGACGGAATTTTCTCCGCTAGGCCGTGGAACCTGAGACGCGGATTTCGGCGATCGATAGCGGGCCCATCATCAGCGACATTACCTACGAGCAAGCACTGAACGACCCACGAGTCGATGCTGACACCTCCAACGGGGATGGAAATAACGCCCTCTCAATAGCGCGGTCGAATGCGGCGCCTTCACCGTCAGTTGACGGCTTGATCACCTCACCGGCTAGCGCGGCAGATTTGGCGGACGAAGTTGTGCTCTGCGAGAACCTTTTCGATGAGGAGGTCGATCTAGCTCCGTGTGTGGAATCGGCCGTGGCAACGTCTCGGGGCAGTTCCTTCCAGTTACCAAACTCTCATCTCCGGACGCCTGAGGAACAGGACGCTCAAGATTTCGATAAGTTCGACTTCGAGCAGACGTTGAATACCCCCCAACACGACTGGGACGATCAGAACCCGATTCCGGGAACGAGCTCAAAGCAAACCTCGGGACAGCTGATGACGTCGACGACTGCTGATCCGGGGCTGCAGGTTGCTCTGAAAAATTCGAACAACACTGTCCTCAAAGCTGAAGTCGGCAAGAACACGTGAGTACCGGGCTTGGGTTCTGGAAGTTGGAAACCAGTCCGCACTTTTCTATCGACACTCCGAGAGGGCTTCAATTCGATTTCCATCTCCGAACGTTCCTCCAGTTTGCCATCTCGTCATGACGTTTCTACAATCTGGAAGGTCACGAGCACCGTTCTTGAGTTTCTCCTCAAGCGGGTGTCCATGTGCTAAATTTGCAGCTCTCGCCTAAACTTGGTCTCTTTCGCGACCTCGTGATCGCTTCGTGTGATTCTGACACTTTCAGTTTTTATAAGACTTGCACTCTTGTGAACTGAATTTTCGGCCATGTTTCAATGGAGATCACTAGAACTCAGTCTATCAGCAGACCGATAACGTTCTCATCCGGTTTCTCGGGATCCGCGGCGAATAGGGACACTCTCGAAGGGTCACAATCCGGTTCCGGCGATATTACACCTTCGTCCCAGCATGCAAAGTAAGCATCACTCCCTGTCTCGAAAGGTCGATTCATCCGATGAGAATCTTAAGCCTATGATAATGACCTACCCCTCTCGGAGCCGCCCTCCCTCGCGCATCTCAACGGACACGTTCTGAAATGGTCAATCCGAATTATGGTCTTGCGGGAAAGAAGAGTATAACGGTCTCTTCTCGTGCCCCTCGAAGAATCCGCGGATTCGATATTCTCCATCTCGCTGTCAGGTTTCTGAGGATCATATTCGCCTCAGCGCTCATTGATTTGGCGCCTCGAATCCACAAATATTTCCCCCGATCGTCGAATGCCAGAGAATTCTGGCGGAATATCTCTCGTCTCGCTCGAAGGAGCTGCTTTCGAGGATCTTCCCATATCACTGTGCTTTCTCGCTGGGCGTATGCGGGCTCGACGCGATCAACAAAACCAGGAGCGGCCGCTTGCCCCGACCTGTCTAGAGCTGTGAGCGACCTCACAGGTACCTGACTTCGACCCACCTGGGTCTGAACAGGAGCAACGCAAAGACGTCGAACCGTAGCTCGACATGAATCGTCCAGAGCTGCGATCGACTGTCGAGGGATTTCGCCACACTACTGCAGAAAAACTGCGTTTCCTGCTGAGCTACTAGGATGGAGCGGAGCGGATAAACGATTCCGTCATGATGCTGACGCTTGAATGTCGGTCGCTCGTAATGGGCTCCTCTACTGATTTGCATATGCAGTAATTCTTCAGACGATCTTCGATTCGCACCGGGGCTGTACCGAGCGATCTCTCATGCGAGACTTGAATAGCGGTGGGGCGTGAGATTCTAGAACGGGGAAGGCTCTGCTTCTCTCTTGCTCGCAGCAAGGATACAGATTGGCTCGAAAAGCGCGAGATATAATAATTCCGGGTTGGTCCTCGAGGGCGTGATTCGAGAAAATTCCTCCTCGAAGTCCGATTCTCTTGCGGAGAGCTCATCGGGGACACATCCCTATGATTCCGGTCTGGAGAGGAACAATCGCTGGGACGGGATCTCGAGAGGCTCATCCCTCCTCCTCGTACAGCCTCGATCGGGATGGTGTAGCTAAGTGATTCTTATCTTGGAATTAGGGATACTCTCAACGATCATCTGGAAGGCGTCGACTCAGAGCTCGACTGGCTCCAGCAGCAGCTGACGGCCGGAGGACTCAGCATCGACAACAACACTCTCTTGAACGTGAGTAGTTCCTCGATTTGATTCCCCCCCCACACAAGGCTTTTTCCCCGATGCCGCGCTGTTTAGAGGCCCGTAGAAACGATGACGATATTTTTTATTCTCAGATCTTCGATACCGATACGAACTTGAATCCCGACTTCTGTCTGGAGCTGTGATCGAGTCGCAATGAGCGCTATGTTCCCCCGGATGTGGGATGCTTATTGAGTTGTTCCCCCGATTGGTGATGAACCGATCCAAGACTTCTTTATCATGCCAACGAACAAACGTTGGAGACTTCATTATCCTCATTGCATAAAATGAACTTCCACACCCTAATTTCATCATTCTGTTTTCCTTGATCACGAATCACGACCCGATATTCGACCCCCTCTTTGACTTCGGATTCGCCTATGGATTGTTTCGACGATGAAGCCATGAAGGATGGCGGCGTGGTCACGCGTCTTGCAAACGTCCACTCATCGGGAGGATGAGCATTCTACCCCCTCGCCTCGGAGCGGTCTGTCTTGACGTCCGATCGATGACTACCCATCCACGAAGTTCGTCTTTGCGTCATTGAATGACTTTGATGTCGTATGGAGCGCTTTATATATCAGAGGCGGAGTCGGGTGCCATGATGAATCGCGTCCTCGATGTAGGTAAAATTTCTCTCCCAGCCGCCGATTTCTCCCGATCGGAATCTATCGCGATGGCCCCCGGCACTCGAGGAGCCGGTACGACAGCGCCAATAGAGCGAAAACCAGTAGGAAAAATCAAATATCATGAGGATAAAACTCGCTCCAGTAAGACATGCTTCATCATCCCCGATTGCCCTTTACTACATTTGTCGTTTTCCCTGTCTGCCGCGAATCATGAGGCGAGTCGCTAGATTAGTAATCGTTGACTCCATAAAAAGAGCTCGTAGTATGTATAATTCGAAGTGTAGCGGAGTGATCTCCACACAGGGAAGGCGATTCAATTCGAGGAGTACTCTCAAGAAGCGCTACACGAAGTTGTTGTTAGTCCCAATAAAGATGTTCAGATTTCCCCGTTGGGGACTCCCGATTGATCGCGGGGATCTGCGCATTCAGATACATACGTTGAAATAAACTCAAGCTGACTTCGTTCATCCAATAAATATATATTTGTACAGCGATGAGAAATGGCGTTTTTTGTTCGGACATTACGAGGAAGCGAGCCCCCAGGCCCCAATACCTGGAAAGACGGTCGCGGAGCCATGATGCGAGAAAGTCTGCGTGAGAACACTCTTCAGAACAGCCATGATTCCATCGGCATGGATTTGATGAGTTCATTCGGAAGACGACTCTAGGCCACGAACTGAGCGAGGAGATGATCTATCCTATCCCGAATTGTGCGAGATTGTGAATCACCCAGACGATGAGCCGTGGCGCTTCTCTATTGTCGGAACCCAATGACTAAATACTACCAGAAGAACACCATCCACTTGTCCAGCCTCCCCCCCATTCCCCACGGAGGTGACGCGACGCCGCTACGTCCGACTGAATTTAGCTCCGATTGTCACAGCATTTATTCTCTGATGGACGATTGCTGCTCATGCTCCTCCTTCGCCTTGCCTTTCTCGGGTGGATGAAGTTAACTCTCTTCTCCGCGGATAGATTCCCGACTCGAATTCTTTCTATTCTCCCCTCTTCCCTCTCGCCATGAGATACCGAAACACACTCCCGCCCTGGCATTGCGTCCATAGTAAGCGGGAGAACATACTTCTCTCCACGTCCGAATGGCTCAGGTCGGGGAAAAGTTGAATTATACTCAATGTCCGCCGCATCGTTTCGAAATAAGAGCCCACAATGAGTTTTCGGATGGGGGAGCAGCCATTCGCGAAAGCGCGCAGCAACAGCTCCAAGGCGGCGAGCGTCCTCGGCCTCTTCCGAGATGAAACGTTGCGGACCATTCAAAACGTAAGTTGGTGTGTGCGAAACAGATGGCGGCGGTATGCAAGTGGTGGAGGTGCAGCCACCGTTCGCTGCTGGGGGCGAGCGGTTGATGTTTTTGTTCCGCGTCAATTGATGATGGGGAACGGGTGCCGAGAAAATGCGCCCCAGGATAGAGTATGCGTCGTCGGCGAGAGCGTCCTCGAGCACATTCCGGACACCTGCTCCGTGTCTAATGTTGCTCCTTCCTTCCGCTTCGATTTCTCTCCAAACTTTCGGGAACCCTGTGGCTCTTAAGTGTCAATTTGTGCTGTCAGCGGCAAAAGAGCGGGAACCGCCAGGACCTCCTGCCCATCGTGTTTGATTTGGCTATAAATTCGATAAAAAGGATGAAACCCCATTCGTGAGTTCATCTTATTCCATGCAGTTTCTGGTGCTCACAGAGGCTACTACGCGTCTCGATTCCAGCGGCGGAAACATTGGGCACTCCGGGCTGGGGGAGAGGCGGCTCATGATTGTTCGGAAGACTTCGTTCTCCCTGAGTTCTAGATTTCCTCTTGCGAACGAAGCGTTGCCAGGATCCTAACGAAATGCGATCACAGCTTCTCGGTGGAGCTTTCCAGCCAATTATTATTTGCCAGAGCTGGTTCCCTCCTCATCTCGAGAGTATCGGATCTCGGAGAGAGCAGGTACCCTCACTCGCTCGCAATAGTGAATGGATTCAGTGGGAATAGCGGACGCGACGGAGAAGGGAGAAGTTTGAAGAGCAGTTCACTAAAAAATGATGAAATCTTGAGATGGGCTCCGGCCACGCCAACAACCCATCATGACCGGCCAGACGAACTGACGACCGCACCATCGAACGCAAGGGCTCAGCATAAAAAAACCAACCACCGACCACGGGAGCCGTCGCCAAGTACCCTCCAGGGACATTCGTTCCTTTCGATCCTTATGTCGTTTGCCTGTCGGTCCTGACGTCCTGAGACTGTACCAGCAGAAACCAGTCATCCATTCCAGCCTCGCAGAAATCCCTGGCTGAGACTTGACCGTAGCTTGCGCTTCGCTGCATCCATCTGAACCGCTACGACTGCATGAAATTTCAAGCGAGACAAACATTTCTCGCCTCTCTCCGGAGGAGAATAAACAACGCCGACCGAATGAGATTCCCACGAAAATTGAAACGCGACGGAGCACGGGAGGGCCGGAGATCGACAAGGTTCTGCGGTTCCTCTGAACGAGAACGAATTTCCTATCCACAACGTTCGAGTCCTGCTTGCAACAGGCAGCCAGGTGAATCAGCGTCGGCCGCCGTGGTAGCGCCGACGAGAGCCCATTGAGAGGAGCCAACAGAACAATGTCGTATTTGAAGACGCAGATGGCGAGAACGACAAATCCCTCGCCGCCTGAAGGGAACACCTGAGTCCAGCTGTTCGGCGTCGTGTTGCCTCGCTCTACTCGTCTTGACAAACCACGGCATTGAGGCCTCGACGTCAAATATATTCTGGCGAACGGATGGAATCAGCCTCTTCGGCTCCGATCAGACCACGGATTCATAGGGAAAAAAGTACCCGGGCTCTGACGCTCGACGGAGCTGCCGAAGAGGAATTCTCAGGCAAGAAGCAGATATCTGGAAGCAGGTCAGCTGCCTGATACTCCACGAGGAGAGAATCATGCAACGAGAGAATAGCGCGAGGTTCCTGTAAATGATCGGTCCCAGACGGCCGCTAGTTGAGAATTGAAGGGTCATGAAGGATTAGACTTCGTCGTTTATTGGACTGAGCATACTCATTTATATAGACAGCCCATAACTACGTGTAACTCGGCGATAGGCGAGGAGTGAAACCTCTACAAGAATATAAGAATCTCTGGTTTGCTCTTTGGATCGTTGCTTCTGTCGGCGCTCAGAAGTTGCCAACACGGCACTCTCGGTCCCCTAGCCCCGACTCCGACCCAGATTCTCTCGTCTTCCCGACCGCCGTCGAGCAAGTGGTGCCAGTCGTTCCCGGCAGCGGCGGCGACAGGCTTCTCCCGTGGTGCGAATGGCGGTTCGGGCGACGCAGTGCTCGGTTCATTCTAGCGTGAAGTTTCGCCGCCGCGTGGCTTTCCGTATTTAGCTCCGGACCAGCTCCTGAACAGCTTGCCGGAATGAGAAAGACATTTGCTCCTCCTTCCCCCGGCTGAGACTCCTGATACGCCCGCGCTCAAGCCCGTCTCGGTGCTTTCTTGCGACTTCTCTGCTCATTGCATCTCTGTACTTAACGGCGCCGTGATTGGAACCGATTTGGAGCTTGGCTCGGAGGCTCGGACACGAACGCTCTCAGCGGAACTTAGCCGCAAAGTCCGAACCACTGGGTTCACGCCAGAAATTTCTGCTTAGCGGGCTGATCTCGATCGTGGCTGACGATTGAGAGTAACCGTAGAGGAAAACCTTTTGGAAAATACTTGGAAATACTCTCCTGGGAAAATTCGAGAACCATCCCGGCTCGCGAGGCGTCAGAGCCGCTGAAATTTATTCGCAATCGAGGGAAAAACTCCAGATTCATCGGGACTGCATTAGGCTAGGTCTGAACTCTACAGGTTCAAGTAATTTTGAGCGTCGCTCGTATTCTTGGTAGCCCGCCAAGCCTTCAACTTACCTGTCGCAGCAGCTGGAAGCTCACGCGTGTTTTTCAGCGCCTTGGCCTTCCGCCTCATTACGCTCAGCAGTCCACAGCAGGGCTCCGGCCCGGAGCGGTAAATGCGAGCAGCTTCACCCTGATTCGCCTCCCCGGCGAGAGTCCCTGCCTCGGAGACTCCGAGTCGAGTTGCCGAGGGAAATCTACCTTTGGAGTGTTCTACTTGACGACGGTGGCGTCACCCTCGACGTCACCGAATGCGAATACGGCGAATAGCTTTGACGAATCAGTAGTAGGAGGCGGTTTGCTCCTCACTGCTCGATCCAAGCGAAGTCGAAGAACCTCTTGAAGGAGCTCAAATCACCTTCATCGACGCCACAAGTGTCCTGATCTGCATAATAAGCCTTTCAAGTCGCTCGTGGAGACTCCAGAGTTTTGCTTATGGCAGCGCCCATCGCATCGATCCTTCCCTCTGAACTCCGGGTGTTGGTGGGAATACTCCCTTGTGACGAAAATCTCAGGACGATTGAGACTTATACCGAGCGCAATCGAACAATTACGCGAGATAACATTTTGTGATGATTCGATGATTCCCTCTGCAATCACTCCTCCTTCCCTCCTGTATCCTCCTGCCCCCCCCCCCCAAAATAAATATTTTTCGACAATGATTCGAACAAGCTTCGGAAACGTCGATTCTTGTCATGTCCGCTTTGGCGACTCCCTTCGTCCAAATCGTTATCAGCGCTCCGCTCGGGAGAAAAGCCCAACAAATCTAGGTCGTCCCAATCCCTCTGACCGATGGCCGTCAATGAGCTCATCGCCTGTCTCTGCTCAGCGAGGGGCGAAGAGAGAGTTCACTCGTTCTCAATACAAGGACAGACGAAGCAGCGGTGATCCATACCCTTCAGCATCGAGGCGGGGAGAAAATATCGCCGGAGATACTCACCTCTGGCGGCACCTCCGGAAATTCCTCGTCGGATGTTGGATAAATCATGACCGACGCCGGATGGACCAAAATATTTGGGAGCAAACAAAAATGTTCGGGATATCTGCGAGGCGAGGGAGAACTATTAGCTCTCGTTCCAAAGTCAGTCGGACTGCCATCTATTCCACAGAGCGACGCAGTGGTATTTTCGCTTGCCGCCAAAAATTTGGCCTTCGGCAAAATATGCGCCGAATGTTCTTTCGAGATAGCAAGGCTACGAACACTGCCTCCTTCACGCCACTACCATGGGGGACTCTTGCTCCCGTACGAATGCTTCGACTATGATTCCGGCCTGCGACGTAGGTACATCTTCTGTGGAGGATCGACTGCAAGCCCCGTACAATAGAAGACATTGCCCCAATCCCGCAGGTTCAACGGGATGGAAAGAGCTCTCCCATTGACGAGTCGAGGACTTTCACGAAAGAACATAGAACCCAGTACACGCAACGTGTTATGATTGCGCCGAGCAATTAAGAAATCGTCGAAGAAAAATGGAGGGAGTCATCCATTAGTGTTAATACCGTAATCG